TAAAATTATTTTAATTACTTGAATTGATATTTTAAATTTATAATAATATCTTGAATAATTTAATAGTTGGATATATATATATATATATATATATATATATCACTTTAATTTTTTTAATTAAAATTAATTTCATAAAAAAATTAATATTTGAAAATTAAAATGCAAAATATATATATATATATATATATATATATATAAATTTATTTATTTTTTAAAGATGATATATTCAATGTATGTTAAAAAAGTTCAAGCCAAACTGCTTTTATAGAAGATTTTCAAAACTCATTGGTTTAATTAATCTGTTAAAAGATTCTTTTAATATGTTAAAAGTGCAGCTTTAATCTGTTAAAACTTCTTTTAATCCATTAATACGTTCTTGATTCTTTAACTGATTTGTTTTAACCGATACTGACAACGTTTATATCAATTAAAACACTTTACAAAAAATCTTCTAAGTTGATTTAATCGATTGTTCGCGATTCAATCGATTGAAATACTCGCAAAACTTTCTCCTAAAACTTTTCAAGTTATTTTAACTGATAAAAATAAGTTTTAATCGATTAAAACGCTCGTGTAGAATCTGTTTTAATCGATTGAAACGAGATTTAATCGATTAAAATAGTTATGATCGGTCATAAATGCATTCTGACCGATCATAATTGAAACCATATAATAGCGGTTCAAGGGTTAACCGCTATCTAAGTCATATTTTAAGAGCGGTTCCTGTGTAACCGCTATCTAAACCTCATCTCGCTTGAGCGACAACATTCTCGCTCAGCGAAACTCCCTCGCACAAAATTAGTACTCTCGGGTTGTATTTCGCTTGAGCGAGCCTATCTCGCTCGAGCGATAGTTGATTCTGATCGATTATATTTTCGAAATGATCGATCATATTTGATAATTTTTTCAAATATTTAATTATAATCGATTAGTTTTCTAAATTATTGATTAGAATTGATTAGTTTTTCAAATAATAGATTAGAATTGATTAATTTTTGAAATATATACTAAAAAAATATAATTAAAACTATAAATTAGTTAAGAATATTGACTATTGTAAAGATAAAGTAGAAACATGGGAGGAGATGAGGATGATAATATAATGATAGAACTTACAAAAATGTAGAATTGAGAAGTTTGAAACAAATAAAAATAAGAAAATAGATATTTAATTACACTTTTAATAAATTTAAGATAATACTAGTTTTAATTTTTATTTTTAAATATTTAAAACAGAGAAACTATAATTTTAGTTTCTAGCTACTGAATTTAAAGAATTAAATTTATTATTTAATCTTTTAATTTGTAGAATTAAACTCAATATAATTGTTAAAAATACTTTGTAGAGGCATTTGAGAAAGCTTTTGTCAAAATACTTTGTTTTTAATTGTTAAAAATATTTGTAGAGGCATTTTGCAAAACATGATTGAGATGATATGATAGCGGTTCCACCTTAACCGCTATCTAAAGTATAATTAAGATAGCGGTTAATGGTTAACTGCTATTAGAAGTTCACTTTTCGAGAGCGGTTCCGTGAAACCGCTATCTAAAATGTATTTCGCTTGAGCGACAATATTCTCGCTCGAGCGAAACTCCAAGTGCACAGAATTCGCATTCTCGATGTGTATTTCGCTTGAGCGACACTACTCTCGCTCGAGCGAAATACGATCCTGATCGATCATAACTTGAAATGACCGATCATAATTGAGAGGATATAATAGCGGTTCCCTCATAACCGCTATCTAAAGTGCATATTAGATATCCGAGGTGTATTTCGCTTGAGCGAGACTACTCTCGCTCAAGCGAAGTCCGATTCTGATCGATTATATTTTCTAAATGACCGATCATATTTGATAATTTTTTCAAATAATTAATTATAATCGATTAGTTTTCTAAATTATTGATTAGAATTGATTAGTTTTTCAAATAATAGATTAGAATTGATTAATTTCTGAAATATATACTAAAAAATTATAATTAAAACTATAAATTAGTTAAGAATATTGACTATTGGAAAGATAAAGTAGAACATGGGAGGAGATGAGGATGATAATATAATGATAGAACTTACAAAAATATAATGATAGAACTTACAATAATCTGTTAAAAGATTCTTTTAATATGTTAAAAGTGCAGTTTTAATCTGTTAAAACTTCTTTTAATCCATTAATACGTTCTTGATTCTTTAACAGATTTGTTTTAACTGATACGACAACGTTTATATCAATTAAAACACTTTACAAAAAATCTTCTAAGTTGATTTAATCGATTGTTCGCGATTCAATCGATTGAAATACTGCAAAACTTTCTCCTAAAACTTTTCAAGTTATTTTAACTGATAAAAATAAGTTTTAATCGATTAAAACGTTGTGCAGAAATTGTTTTAATCGATTGAAACTAGATTTTAATCGATTAAAATAGTTATGATCGGTCATAATTGTATTCTGACCGATCATAATTGAAATCATATAATAGCGGTTCAACGGTTAACCGCTATCTAAGTGAGCTTTTAAGAGCGGTTCTCGTGTAACCGCTATCTAAACTCGTATCTCGCTTGAGCGACAACTTTCTCGCTCGAGCGAAACGCCCCCGCACAAAATTGGTACTCTCGGGTTGTTTTTCGCTTGAGCGAGTCTAGTCTCGCTCGAGCGATAATTGATTCTGATCGATTATATTTTTGAAATGATCGATCATATTTGATAATTTTTTCAAATAATTAATTATTATCGATTAGTTTTCTAAATTATTGATTAGAATTGATTAGTTTTTCAAATAATAGATTAGAATTGATTAATTTCTAAATATATACTAAAAAATTATAATTAAAACTATAAATTAGTTAAGAATATTGACTATTGTAAAGATAAAGTAGAACATGGGAGGAGATGAGGATGATATAATATAATGATAGAACTTACAAAAATGTAGAATTGAGAAGTTTAAAAAAAAAATTATGAAAATAGAGATTTAATTATACTTTTAATAAATTTAAGATAATACTAGTTTTTAAACCTTTTTCTAATATTTGTTTTTAAAAATATAATATCATTTTTAATATTTTATAGATTTTATATTTATATATTTATAAAAGTAATTGGATTAAATTTATTATCCTCTCATATATTATTATACATTTAGCGTAATTTTAGTTTATTTAAAAATTAGAATACAAATATACTATACCAATATACCATTATATTATTTTCATTGTATATAAATTACAAAATTAATAATTTGTATACTATACTATACTAACATATTATTTGTATACTATACTAATAGTATAATATACTATATTATAATATTATTTGTATACAAAACTAATATCTTTATATATAAATATATAAATATGGAAAGATATAAATATATGTAAAAATATAAATATATAAATATATATAAATATGTAAAGATATAAACATATATCTTTAATATTTTGTAAATGTAAATATAATTTATATATATTTTTAAATCTTTTTCTAATATTTATTTTTAAAAATATAATATTATTTTTAAAATTTAATATTTTTTTCAAATATATAAATATATAAAGATATAAATGTATAAGGATATAAATAAATATATAAATATATCAATATATAAATATATCAAAATATAAAAATATAAATATATAAATATATTAATATATCAATATATAAATATATAAATATATATATATATATATATATATATACAAATATATCAATATTATCCCCTCATATATTAATATACATTATTAGCATAATTTTAATTTAATTAAAAATTAGAATACAAATATACGATACTATACTAATATACCATTATTTGTAGATTTTATATATTAAAATATATAAATATATTTTTATTTATAGATTTTATATTTATATATTTATACGGATATACATTTATTTGTATATAAATATAATTTATTTGTAAGTTATTATTAAAAGATCCTAGTAGCTTCAGTGGTTGGAGTTTCACCTCCAACTCTAAGGTCACGGGTTCGAATCCGACAATGACAATAACCCACCTAATAATAAGTTAAACTTCTAAAAAATATAATAAAGATAGGGGAAATAAATATAAATAAAAACTTAAATAAGCAAAATATAATATAATTAAGAAATAGGGAAAATAAATAAAAAGAATTAAATTTGTTATTGATTAACTTTTTCATTGATTTAGTGACCAGATTCGATGATCGATTTGGTTAAAGATAGGGGAAATAAATATAAATAAAAACTTAAATAAGCAAAATATAATATAATTAAGAAATAGGGAAAATAAATAATAGATATAATAAAAGTGTAAATAAATAAAAAGAATTAAATTTGTTATTGATTAACTTTTTCATTGATTTAGTGATCGATTCGATGTGACTGATTTGGTTAAATCGATCATTGAATCGATCACTAAAATCGATGACCAAGGAAATAGTGATCGATTCCAGGTTGGTCATTATTTTAATTAGTAACTGATTTTGTAGATTTAGTGACCGAATTTTCGGTCACTATTTGATGTTTTTCTTGTAGTGATAATAATAATAATAATAATATTAATATTAATAATACTACGTCAATACAAATTGATTAATATTAAAACATACTCCAATCCGATTATCCTGACTGAGCATAGCTCGCAAGTTGTACAATCGGTCGTCATTGTTTTTTCAAAATTACATGTGCAGAGTGGACTTCCAAGTTTTCATCCTTTAGTTGCAAGTAAGAAAATAAATAAATACATGTACGCTCCATTTTAAATACTACTAATGAGGAATTTTAATAATAGAATGTCCAAACTTTGTAGGCTATCACTTAATTAAAATAAATATAATTGGATGAAATTGTTTAAAACTGGAACTAGTTTTAAAATAATTATTGAAAAATAATAATAATATTTTATTTCTATTGCAGCAAGAGACCCTGATTTTTTGTGTTTAAATAGACGAAATTTCGGGGTTGATGAATTTGTGTGGTGTGATTGGAGTTAATAAGGCAGCTTGTCCCCTCTTCTTCCCCAACGACATGGCTGCTCCTTCGATTTCAAACATGTTCTTTCCCTTCCCCAAACCGCACCATCGTACCTTCCCATTAACCCACTCTAAATTCCCAACACCTCTCACACCAACCCTAAACTCAGTCAAACTTATCACACGTCACAGCTCCTCAACCTCCACCGTGAGAGAGCAAGAACACGAAGAAGCCACAACACATCACACAGAGAAAAGCAGCCACAACTACAAGCCCAAGCTAGAGGAGCACGTGGAGCGGCTCCCTCAAGAGTGGCGCGAAATCCAAGGCGAGAACGATTGGGCCGGGCTTCTGGAGCCCATGGACCCTCTCTTGCGGATGGAAGTAATCCGCTATGGCGAGATGGCCCAGGCCTGCTACGACGCCTTCGACTTCGACCCTTTCTCCAAGTACTGCGGCAGCTGCAGGTTCACGCCCCGCAACTTCTTCTCCTCCCTCGAAATGTCCCGCGTGGGCTATACCGTCACGCGCTACCTCTACGCCACAGCCAACATCAACCTCCCCAACTTCTTCAAGCACTCGCGCTGGTCCAAGATGTGGAGCAAGCACGCTAACTGGGCGGGCTACGTCGCCGTTTCTGACGACGCCATGACCCACCTCCTCGGCCGCCGCGACATCACCATCGCCTGGCGCGGCACCGTCACATGCCTCGAATGGGTGGCGGACCTCATGGATTTCCTCAAACCAATCTCATCGAACGGCGTCCCGTGTCCCGATCAGACGGTGAAGGTGGAATCAGGGTTTCTAGAGCTTTACACGGACAAAGAAAAGAGTTGTGGTTACTGCAAGTTCTCCGCCCGGGAACAGGTTTTGACGGAGGTGAAGAGATTGTTGGAGATTTATGGAGATGAGGAAGTGAGCATTACGATAACGGGGCATAGTTTGGGGAGTGCGTTGGCGATTTTGAGCGCGTACGATATTGCGGAGACGGGGGTGAATGTTATGAGGGATAGTAGAGGTGTGGGGGTTACGGTGATGTCGTTTTCGGGGCCGAGGGTGGGGAACGTTAGGTTTAAGGAGAGGTTGGAGAGGCTGGGGGTGAAGGTACTAAGGGTGGTGAACGTGCATGACGTGGTGACCAAGGCACCCGGAATTTTGTTTAACGAGCAGTTGCCGGAGGCGGTGATGAAGGTGGCGGAGGGGCTGCCGTGGAGCTACTCCCACGTTGGGGTGGAGCTGGCGCTGGACCACAAGAAATCGCCGTTTCTCAATCCCAATGTTGATGCAGTCTGTGCCCATAACTTGGAAGCTCTCTTGCATCTTCTTGACGGGTCAGTTTCAACTTTCATTTTTTTCCTTTTTTCTGCAATTGTCATTTTGTGAATGTATCCACATACTGCTTGGCTGTTGTCGTGAACTAACCTGTTTAGCGGTTGGATAATCTGGTATACCCTTAAATTCATTTTTATGGGTGATATTGTTACAGAAATTTTAGCGTCTAATGGTTGTGGTCTATTTAATTTCATTAAATAATCTGTCATTACGGATGAAAATCGCGTTTAGTTTTTCCGAAGATTTAATGGATTATTATAATTTCTGAACATGGTGTTGGGTGTTGCCCACAATCTAGAATGATCAAAATTAGTCTTCATTAATTGATCGTTCACAATGATTACACAGTGAAAAAAAATTTGATTAGAACTGAGAAGTTTCTATTTTCTAAATGAGCATTAATGTTTGGGTTTATATTTATTATAATACCTAATTAAAATTTTTGTAATATTTACTCTTTAGATAATACTATGTAATATTTTTTGTTTTCTCTATTCTCTCGTCATATGTTATATAACATTTCAGGTGTACAAAAGTTATTTCCTTCCTAAATATATAGTGATTGGGGAACAATCATGTAATTTTATTTTTCTCGAATAAAATTATTATAGGATAGATGTAGTTAGTTCAAAATACAGTCATGAGATAAATTAGGGTAGAAGATATTAGTACATGTAATATATATGTAATCCAAGAAATCTGTGTGGGTAGTAGAACAGATCATGCGCGTGTCTTTTAATTACTAAACTGATAAAAAGAAAACGAAATTAATGAAACTTAAAAAAAAAAAAAAACTTTATATAAATATTGTTCTTCTATCCTATTTCCGTTTTTATAATGATAACATGTTCTTTTTATGAGTTACATCTCTTTCTTAGTCGTGTTAATTTATAAGATTTCGAAATTAACTATGCATATTTTGATTGATTATAAATGCTCTGTAATATAATCATTATTATCTGAAATTTTTTGTTGTCCTATATTATTTGGAGTTATCTAAATAACATTTTTAAATCAATTAATTATTAAATTATTTAGTAGATTAATTGAATCGAGTTTTCTATTTATCAAATTAAAATCCATATAAAAAAATTGAAAATCCATAAAATCAGACTACAAAATGTTGTATTGGTTACACTTCAATAAAATCAAACCAAATCGTGTGATGTTTGGTTTAGATGATATATTCCATCGAAAGGCCAAAAAAAAAAAAAAAAAAAAAAAAAAGAAAAAAAAAAGAAAACTCTGCATTGCAAATATTCCTATTAAAAAATTGTGTTGTCGGGTCCACGTACAATATTTCGTGAAGAGGTTACATTCAGTCAGGATAGTTGGCAATGGATCAAATCAATCGACCCAACTCAACGAATATCTCGTACAGTCTGATACAAAAGCAGGCTACGTTTTGTGAAGAAGAATAAATAATATAATATATTAGTTGTAACTTGTGTCGCTATTGGGCGAAATAGGGTAGATTATTTTATGTATGTAATATCTCCTCATGATATGGGAAACCTAATATATATATATATATATATATATGTATATATATATATATGTATGTATGTGTGTGTGGAAGATAAGAATGGGACAATGCATCTTAAATTATTAGCTGGTGGCATGGCTTGCATATGAATTTCATAATTCATACTCAGACTATTAGATTTACTAGTCTTTGCATATGCTCGACAGATACTGGTTTCTTGGAAGCTTAATGCAATTTGTTACTATTGGTGTTTATATTACTAATAATAGTTCTTTGGTCAAACCTAAGAAACGACGTATTCTTGCATCCATCAAGTTAGTGTATTGATGATGAAAACAAAATATGGTCAGTTTTTGTGCTAATGATAATGACATTAGAAAGTAGCATCTGTAGATAATCATTAGCTGGGGGAGTTTTCAATTGCCAAATTAATACGATAAGTGACGGAAATTGGGTAATATTTTGTCTGGCTACACGCCTTGATGATGAGCAGATACCATGGAAAGGGTGAAAGATTCGTACTAGCGAGTGGTAGGGATCCTGCTCTGGTGAACAAGGGGTGTGACTTCCTCAAAGATCATCACATGATTCCACCAAACTGGAGGCAAGATGCGAACAAGGGCATGATCAGGAGCAATGATGGACGCTGGATGCAGCCTGAGCGACCAAAGCTTGAGGATCACCCTGAAGATATGCATCACCATCTCACCCAACTGGGTCTCACTTTGTCTGATATATGAATGCATTGAAGTGGAGAATGGTGCTAACTACTGTTATTGAACAGAGACAAGTCTATGGTGGGACTTGAATCCTCATCATTACTTATTAATTAATGCACATAATTATAAGAAAAAAATATTCACATCCTCTTTATCTACGATCATCTTTTCAACCACTGCATTTAATAATATAATATTAATTTTTAATTTTTTTATTTTAATAAATTCTTTTTATGATTATAATAATAATAAATTGAGTTTTCTATGTTGCGATCATGTGCCTAATTATAATAGGAATATTGATTATTGAATTGTACAATGCTTCTGTAATAAACTAGCGAACCAAGATATATTGACAACCTTCGTATAAAACAACTCTAAAAATAACTTATTTTATTAATATAATAACCATGAAAGATATTTAATAAAAGAAACAGTTAAAATTATTATTATAATATAAAATGTATTTGTTTAATGGATTATTTACGTGAATAGTGATGTGAAAATATATCCATGTCTACATGATGCCTTATTAAAACATAATTCTATCAATTTATAATGAACAAGTTGGAGATTTTGCTTTTAATAAAGCTGACTTGAAAATGTACATTTGTATATGGAAATAAAAAAATTAGAAACAAATCTGGACGGACCTAAGCCAATATTAATGAGAAAGAAAACGAAAATCATTTATGTTCTTAACAAAGACATAATCTATATAATTAAGAACATAATTTTATCAAATAAAATCTTATTTATGTTTAAAATTAAAATTAATTTACTTAAACAATATTTTTCCTAAAAATATAAGAAAATTATAATGACATGACCAAAAATATAAAAAAAGTGCAATGACATGGATGAAATATTTTTTATACATTTTCTCTATCACTCACTACAAGAAAAACATCAAATAGTGACCGAAAATTCGAGTCATTAAATTATCAAAATCGGTCACTAATTAAAATAGTGATCGAAATAGTGACCAACTAGAATCGATCACTATTTCTTTGGTGACTATTTCGAGTAACCAATTCGATGATCGAATCGATGATCGGATTCGATTCATCGAATCGATGGCCGATTCAGATGATCGAATCGATGACTAGATCGATTCATCAGAATCAATGACCGAATCAGTGACCAATTTTATGATGACCGAATCAGTCACTATATCAGTCATTGATTTTATTTAATTTTGTATTGTTTTTAAAATAACAATAAACCTGATTACGGATTGTATTAAATATATCAAAATTACACTACCTGAGGTAACCATCAAAATAAATACCACAAATTTTGTTCCAAATAAATTCCACATTAAATATTTTCTTGCATAATGAAAATTCAATCTAAAAATAAGTAGAATAAACTAAAGTAAAAGTCATAATTCAGTACATGTCAGAAACTAACAAAATAAATACAATAAATATTTTCTTACATATTGAAAATTCAATCTAAAATAAGTAAAATAAACTAAAGTAGAATCCTGACAAAAATTTTGCTCCACTCAAATACAAGTCTATTATTCATCTTTTACCAAGAAATACTGGTGGTACCATTAGAGGGTTTTGAGGGAGCTTAACCCAATCAATAAGAAATGGGTCAGACAAATTTTTGGGTTGGGCCAAGTTTTGAACTTGGCGATTCATGGAGTCAATTCCTGTGTACAAAATGGCTGGTTTGTTCCCAGGAAGAAGTGTAGCTGATCCTGACCAACAATCATTTATATCCGACGGTTGAGAAGGGAAGATGACAAGATCTAGTGGTGTCCAATTCATGAGATCGTTGGACACTAAATGTATCCACACAATATTTCCCCAAATAACACCTTTAGAATTGTATTGATAGAACACATGATAAAGTCCTCCATATCTCATTGGTCCTACCAAAATCATAAGACAACTTTTTATTTTCCAAACCCAAAATATGTTTTTTCTTTTGGAAACAACTAAACAAAACATTTTTATGTTTTTCTTTCAAAAGGGTTCACTTAAGAGGGAAATTCATAATAAGAGAATTGAACTAAACTAACCATTGGAATCTGCAGGTCCAAACACACCACGTGTCCATATGAGGATAACATGTCAAGTCACAAAAACAAGAAGAAAAAATGTTTATTAGAGACATAAAATATTTGCACAATAAAGAAAATGAAAGGAATAAAAGGGCACATGAAAAAATTTAAAATGAGTTGAAGGATACATGTTATGTAAACCATTAATCCAATTCTTGGGAGGTTGGAAGTGGTAGGCAGTTCTGTAAGGTTGATAATTGAAATCAGAAGATAGAGTCTGTAATAACCTATTACATAGACAAGAAATTATATATATACTCACATTTTTACATCACCAAAATAAGCTTTGCAACCTATATAAGCTTTAAACACTTATAATAATAGTTTGCAACCTATTATACCTTGAACATAGACAATATGCATTTCCTATTTCAGTATATGAATTTATTGCATAACCGTAGAGTTCAAAAACAAGAATACTGCTATTATTTTACCTTTTTCTTATAGCTTCACCAGCCACTCTTGGACACTAGGATCTTCAAATATCACACTAACAGTTTGATGCACATCTTCCTATCACCGAGAAGATTTTAAATGTATGAGAAGTCAAATTTCTTCCAAGCAAAAGATATTAATAAAAATGGTGATTGCAGTAACATGTCTGTTTTTCATATGAAAATATGTAGTGTAAACTAGCATAAAAATGGAATTAGATATAAAATAAAAGGTCATTTCTTTTACCTTTAAGTCATAGGTTAAAATCCTAAAACAAGTTCTTCTCTTGCAAGGATAAGGTTCGGAACATCTACTCTACTGAATCCCCACTAATTCACAAACTCATGCATTGAGTTGCCCTGTTTTGTTAGGTAGCTTTGTACATTGATTTTTCTTTTTGTTGCTTTTTCTTGTTTGGCTCTAATGTTTAGGAAAAACCAGCTCTTTTTGTAATCCATTATTAATTTTCTATTTTATCTATAATCAAAATAGTAAAAAAAAAACATAAATTGTAACTACATACACAACATATCATTGGTCCACAACATTTTTTCAGAAACTTAACATACAAAGACTTTGAAACTGTGTAATTGCAAGATAATAACAGATTTAAACAAAATGCAGGAAGAAAAAATTATTTACAGAATTAGCCATATCTGTCATACACAACTCGGACGAAAACTATTGGATCAACTATACTCAACCTATTGTTAGACAAATGACATCTAGAGAGGGGTGAATAAATGTACAAATTTTAATAGATGTCAAATTAAAAATTTATTTGTGAGTCAATAATTTGTTTGAACACAGATAAAGCGGAAGCGATAATATAATCAGGAAAAGAGAAAGAGATAAGGGAAAGAGAAGAGCACACAGTGATTTATACTGGTTCGGGTATAGCCAACCCTACATCCAGTTCCCAGTCAACTCTTAACACAAGAGTGACTCCCAATTCACTATCTTTCAAATTCAGTTTACAAATTACAATCAACTCAGCAGAAGAACCAGTAAAAAGTAAACTAATTAAAAAGACAATCACCTCCTTAGAAACCCACTAAGGATGAATACCTTCCTAGAATCCCACTAGGGATGAACACCTCCTCTGAACAAATTAAAGGATGAAAAACACCTCCTTAGAATCCCACTAAGGATGAACATCTCCCTAGAATCACACTAGGGATGAACACCTCCCTGAACAAGTCAAAGGAATGAAAACACCTCCTAAACCCATAAAGGATGAAGGAGTAAGATAAGAACAATCACCCCTGGGTAATGGAGACAACAAATTGTAGAAGCCTGTAGAATGCCAATCTCCAAGAACAAGTGTGATTAACAATGAAAGCACATAAGGCAGTAGAGAATAGGGTTTTCTCAGAAGGTGTAAAATATCTTTGTTGCCTTGCTCAAATTTTTTTTTCTCAAAACTGATTGAATGTAAATTGTATTTTCGAATTCTGTAATTGTGTTTTTTTTTCATCAAAACTTAATTAAATAGAATAATAACATCAGAAAATGGTCATTGGACATTAACATTTTCGTGAATAAAAATCAGGATATATTCAAAAACATTTATTCTTCAAAACAGATATATTTTTCAAATTTGAATGACCATAATTGATTATGTTACCAGTATAATCAATTATGACAGAGAAAATCATTTTTTTCATTTCTGATGCATCATAATTGATTATGACAGTGAAAAATATCATGTTATGAATTTTATCACACTTGTGCTTTGGAGGCTTATGCATAATATTACTTCATCAATTTGTACCTCCATATCCAGTATTCTAAGACTCTATCTAGTCTTCAGGAATCATCTTGGGCTTGCTTGAATCATCATCTTTATCAAAAACATATCTTGGGCATGTAGGGAAATGTTTCACATTATCACCAACGTCTTCAATTCAGCTTGTCCTTAATTCATCTTGAATGGTGTTGACTTGAATGTAGTTGACTTGAAACATCATCAATATCATCTCTTGGTAATATAGGAACATTTCCATCAATCTCCCCTTCATTGCTTTCAATCTCCCCCTTTTTGATGATGAATAAGGAAACACCTGAAATGAATTAAATGTTTGACTCTATATAGCCAGCTTAAGATTAGCACAGTATAGTATAACACAGATTAGCATAGATTTGTATAAAGTGTCAAAGTCTCTTAATCTCCCCTTGGATATATTAATAACAAGACTCCCCCTAACTCATATGAGCAAAGACTTCTCTTAACTTCCCTTGTTTAATTTAGAGATAGGAATGAATTCCACACAGATTTTAATTCATCAAAAATTCTCCCCCTGTTTCACATGGATTAATATCATCAAAATATCTCCATGTTTCATTGATAATTATGAAAAATATTACAATAGAAATTGAGAACAAATTTACACATATTAGTACATAAATCAAAATAGAGAAGATAATGCATTACAAAGTGTCATAGAGAAGAACATCATATTAAGGAGGCAATATCTAGGATACCCAAGACGAGAGAAAGATAGGGGAATAGAATGATTGTAGAGATAATGGAATGAAATACGAGTAGTTTCCCCCAATTGCAGTCTTCTTATTTAGGCGACTTCAAATTCAAATTCACTCATATTCCAGATTTCAAATTTCAAATTCAAATTGCAATAAATTTCAAATTCAAATTCCAAATTTCAAATTCAAATTTCTAATCCCAAATTTCAAATTTCAATTCCAATTCAAATTCAAAAATCTCAAACTGCAAAAATTTTAAATTTCAAAATCTCAAACTGCAAAATTTAAAATTGTAAAATTTCAAAAATCTCAAACTGTAAAATTAAAAAAAAAAATTCAAACTGAAAAAAAATTTCAAATTTCAAAATCTCAAACAGAAAAATTTAAAGTTTCAAAAATCTCAAAATTTCAAATTTCAAACTTTAATAATTTCAAATTTTCATAAATTTAGATTTTCAAAATTCAAACTTTCAAATTTTAAATTTTCAAAATTCAAACCTTCAAATTTCAAGCTTTAATAATTTCAAATTTTCATAAATTCATATTTTTAAGATTCAAACTTTCAAAATTCAAACTTTCAAAATTTCAAATTTTCATAAATTCAAATTTTCGAAATTTAAACTTTCAAATTTCAAAGTTGGTCAACAATCAATTTTATGTGACGGATAAGTGCGGATATTCAATATAGAGGCTTGAGAGACAATCATGAACTTATCTTTGTAATATTTCCCTGTTCATCTAACTTGTTCCTCGTACACTCATTAAGCTTTAATAACCTGCATTGATTTCTTATCCTTGATAAATACATGCAACATCAACATACAAATCTAGGTACCCTTTAATTATTTTTGGGTCCTTAAAAAGGTTAGTAGAATCACAAGTCTCTGCCAAAAGACTAAGGATTAAAAGAATATAACCATGATATAATAATCGATTATCATAGCACCTTCAGAATCAACATAATTGATTATGACAACAAGAAAAAAATTTATGATTCTGATAATCAATTAGATGCTCAAACTATTATCTAGACATGTACAAATGATTTGTTCCTTTAGACACCCATTCATATTTGTCATTAGATATACGAAAATATTTTATGTAACATCTATTTGATGTATGACTTGATTTCATGCAATAAAAACATGTTGGTTTTCTTTGAAAAGGTCTAAATGAGTTTCTTAAAGTTTTTGAAACTGGTTTCATATCTGTTTTCCTTGACTCTTTCAAAAAAATAGTTTTATGAGGTTCTAGACTTTCTTTGGGTTTGTAACCAAGTCCAGCTTTGCTAGAATTCCCTCTTTGATAACCTAATATAGAATCAAGATTTTCAGAAGATTTTGAAAACTTGCTTATTATTTTCTCTAGCTTGAAAATCTCATTTTCCAAATGATTACAATTTTCACAAGGTTTAGCAATTTCTTTATTTTTAGACAAAGTTTTAAATTTCTCAACATCTTTCTTTAAGCACTCATTTTCTTTTTCAAGAATACTAACAGTATTTTCTAATGCATTAAAATTTTGTCTAAGTGCATTGTTGTTAAGTGGTAAAAAGTTGATATAATTATGCCTTGAATTGTTATGAAACCACTTAACTTATGTTAATTCTAATATATTTTTCTCCCAATATAGGATGCTGGAAAATCTGTTAATTGTGTGAGGAATCAACATTTATTAGGTTTTCTTATGAATTTCATGTGTGAGGAATCAACATGGATGATTTGAGTAGGTGACATCAACATTGTTAGGTTAATTGACGTTCTTAATTGACATAACCATTACAAAAGATGGATAAGGAAGGAAGTCAATCCTAAGTACCTTTAATTGATATTTTCTCAACAATTTACAATTCTTTGTCATTTAATTTCAATTCAACTCTTATTT